AACAGAAAACTTCTGCATCAGGCCAGTTATACTGAATGGCAGTTCCTAAAGAAATATCACTTATTGTAAGGGCAAAACACTGGCAAAAAGATCCAAAATCCAAAAGTCTGTGGTTTTTTTGTTTTTGTTTTTTTTTTTTTGTTGTTGTTGTTGAAGGAACCAGGGCAATGCTAACTTCTGGACTGGCCTATAAAAATATTGTGCATCACCCCTATGGCACTCTATAAGGAGCAGTGCTAAACTTGTGTCTGAATTCCAGGTGCATATTGATGTGTCCAACTGTGTTCTGCAATGTTTGTGCCCACAGGTGCAGTGCAGTTTGGTGCGCAGCCAGGTGTCACCAGGCCCACTGTGGAGGAGGGACAGAATATGATGTTAGAGGGAGGAAAACATCATAAGGAGGTGGAGTTGGGGCTGGCTTTAGTTATATGCAGTAGAACTGGTTTTCATGCTTTTTGATACGTGGGGATTTTAATATTCATGCAAACTGCCCCTCTGATCAGCTGGCGAAAGACTTTTATTCATTGTTGGATTCATTTGATCTTATTCAGTCAGTACTCTGCCCCACTCACCAGCATGGGGGCACACTCGACCTCATTATTTCACGAGGTCTGTCTGTAGGTATGGGAGATGTGTCAAACTCAGCCATCTCCGACCACTTTTCTGTCTGTTTTGAGATTCTGGCACCATTCAGTGTTCCCAGACCCGTGGCCCCACGCCAATGCCGCAGGATTATCACTCCACTTACAGCCCCTAAATTTGCTGCTGCCTTTCTGGCCTCTGGATTTAACTTCCCTGAAACACAAACTCTTCCCATGTGTCCTGATGCTCTTCTCTCCTCATCTGATTCTACCTGCTCTTCGATCATGGACTCCATCGCTCCATCTAGGATAAAGAGACCCAGAAACATCTCTGACCCATGGTTGAACGACTCCACCCGGGCACTGCGGAGACGCTGCAGACAGGCAGAGCGCAAATGGAAAAAGGACAGTCTGCACGTTTCCCTGGACATGCTAAGGGACAGTTTGGTCTCTTACCAAAACTCTGTTAAAAAAGCTAAAACTTGATATCTGTCTAGTATCATTTCAAACAGCAGTCACCATCCTAGAATACTTTTTAAAACCATTAATCAAGTCATTAATCCTGTTACCCTGCCCATTGAAGGCTCAGTTCAGTTGTGTAATGAATTTCAGAGCTACTTTACTGATAAGGTCTGGGCCATTAGACAAAACATTCCTAAGCTCTCATCTTCTGTATCACCTGTTTTTCATGGTCTAGACAAGCTAGAAACTTTTGTCCCGGTCTCACTGCCCCAACTCAAAAAATATGTCTCACTGCTAAAACCTGCCTCTGCCCCCCTTGACCATGTCCCTGCCAGGATGGTCAAGGAGGTCATCGATAATATAGGCCCCACTCTGGTCACATTCATCAATTTCTGCCTTGAGCTGGGCATGGTTCCGGACTCTCTCAAGCATGCGGTAGTGAGACCACTTCTAAAAAAGTACAACCTCGATCCCTCTCTTTTATCTAATTTCCGCCCAATTTCCCTCTTACCTTTCCTATCTAAGGTCATGTTTTTACTCAACTGCAATCTCATTTAGATCGGCTTAATATTGGTGACAAATTTCAGTCAGGCTTTAAGCCCCATCATAGCACAGAATCTGCTCTGCTGAAGGTCCACAATGACATTGCTTTGGCCCTTGATGCTAAGCAGCCTGTCATTTTAGCTTTGCTAGATCCATCAGCAGCCTTTGACACCATTGATCACACGGTCCTGATCTCCCGCCTAGAACATTATGTTGGCCTAAAAGGCCCGGCTCTGAGCTGGTTTACTTCCTTTCTGACCAACAGGACCTTTTCTGTCACCATTGGGGAGTTTTCCTCTACAGTGACACCCCTCAACTCAGAGGTCCCTCAAGGTTCGATCCTGGCCCCGTTACTCTTTTCTTTGTATATGTTACCACTTGGTCAAATTATATCAAGGCATAATGTGCATTTTCATTTTTATGCAGACGATGTCCAGATCTATATGCCCCTGACCCAATGTGACTCCAGTGCTCTCGCTCCCCTTTTTAACTGTATCCGTGACGTCAAACTCTGGCTCGCTGAAAACTTTCTCCACCTAAATGAGAGCAAGACCGAGTACATCGCTTTCAGTCCAGACTTGGCCACCCTGAGACCCAAGCTAGGTGCCCTGACCCCTTCAGTCACTGACACTGTTAAAAACCTTGGAGTAATATTTGACAGCAGTTTTAACTTTGATAAACAGATCTGCTCCGTAGTTAAAACCAGCTTCTTTCATTTGAGGATACTAGTAAAAGTGAAGCCCTTCTTGTCTCATGTAGACTTAGAAAAAGCAATTCACGCTTTTATTACGTCCAGACTGGACTACTGCAATGCCCTTTATGTCGGTATCTTGAAATCCCTCCTTTGGAAGCTACAACTTGTACAGAATGCTGCGGCTCAGCTCCTGTCTTGTACTGCTAAGTATGCTCACATCATTCTCTTCTCATTACACTGGCTTCCAGTGAAATTTAGAATTGATTTTAAAGTGCTCTTATTTCTTTTTAAATCTATTAATGGCCTTGCCCCCTCATATCTTTCGGACATTGTGTCTGTCTACTCTCCCTATAGACCCCTACGCTCTGCAGACCACCTATCTCTAGTCACCCCCAGCTCTCGTTACAAAAAATGGGGTGATCGCTCTTTTAGCAGTTATGGCCCTAGGCTGTGGAACGTGCTACCTCTAGAAATACGGTCCATAACCAAGTTGGCCCCTTTTAAAGCAACTCTAAAAACGCACCTTTTTAGACAGGCCTTTGACAACTCATCCGGATCATCTCTTTTGCTGCTGTTTTATCATCCATCTTGTTGATATGTCCTTTTCTTGTTGTTTTTAAGGTCTGTTATGCTAGCTATGTGTTTTTTATGTGTTCTGTGAAGCACTTTGTGCTCCTTTTGCGGGTTGTAAAGTGCCATATAAATAAAGTATTATTATTATTATTATTATTATTCATGCAGAAGTTCTGCACATAAATATTCACTCAGTAGTCTGCTACTATCACTGACCAGCTTTTGTTTGTGGAAGAAAGTAAGTCTCTAATCCTGTAACCAGCAGCATTTACCATGTAATTTACTCAGCGCTACATCCAGAGTGACATCCATGGGTTCTTGCATGTAACTTTATAAGCATTTAACAGTTTTTAAAATAATACAATAAAATCATATTGTAATCATTGTATCTATGGTGAAAGTGATTATGCTCCACCAGATACTAAAACATCTCTTGCTGTCTATGACAGCTACCTGTTCACTTTGCCTTAGAGTGTTGCAGTTTGGAACAATTTTAAGCAACTTTAAACACATTTAGTTTCAAGTATACCCCAGCTCCTAAAGCAGCCATCAACTTAACCTATCCTTATTTGGAAAAGACAAACATTTTCTGGGGTGAACTCTCTTGTGACAAGTAAAGCTTCTCCTCCCCATTTTTAAATAAAAAGAAGCAAGTAATGTAGGTGTAGTAGATAACCAACATGACTGAGACATGCTGGTTATCTACTGAGATAAGAAAGACAATAATGTTCACACAATTTGAAGGACAGATGATGTTTGGGAAATAAACTGGAGAAATGCCACAAAAAGCACCTAACAGCAAAGATGAAGACAGACAGATTGTTTGGGAGTGTTGGTGGTGCTCTGGGTAGCTTGAAACGGAGGGTATAATGTTGAGCCAGGTGAGAGACATCTCATTACACTTTTATGTGCTGCTAACTGCCGCGGGTTGGCCGACTGGTTAAAGAGAGCTGAACACAGCTCCTCTGGTTCAGATGGCTGCTCTGCCCTGCATGCCTAGAGGCGGGTGCTTCACTCCTTTTCTCATGTTAATTAATTTGCTGACACTTCACTCTTTGTCATTCCCAGCAGTCACGTCTTCTGCTCTGTATCCTGTGGCACTGCTTTTATCAAATGGTGAGATTTCGACATCAGATGGGTCTTCCATGGTGCCAAAAGGACAGGCCTGAACCTCCTCATCCTCCTTGGCCGGGGTTTGACCTGGCTCGGCATCGGCTGCGCTGTCATCCAGAGTAAAGCCTGGACTGAGAGTGTCTCTCTGTCTCAGCCCGGAACACTGGAGTCATTATTTCCCTGCTGCACTGGCCCTGCAGCAGGCCAAGAATATGGCTGACACACATTGCCTGGGGTTATGCCTGGGGGCTGGCGTCCCTTCTCTGTAGGCCTCAGCTCCCCTGGAGAAACAAGCAGTGCCAAATAACAGCTGCTTGAGGCAGCAAAAAAGCACCCTTATTTCCACTTGTCCTCAGTCCAACCAGTACACCAGAGTACTTCAGTGGCTTTCAACAGTGTGTCATGAAGGCCCAAGAACACTCAGAGGTCATGTTTTCAGTCACAGTTTTGATTATCATACAAGTGCCATCAAATGAGGACACAGTCACAGCTTCTTTGTCCCACTGTTGTAGTTTGGCTTTAAAAAATACAATGTGGCTCCAGGGATGGTAATGTTGGGGGATGTGTCCACCATACTGGTCCAGTCCAGTCCTCCCAGAGGATGAATCCAAATGAATTTGATTATCAGACTTCGTGCCACCAGCAGGTTGACATTTGTGGGTCCGAGTGAAATGTCTTGACAGCTGTAGGACTGATTTCTATGAAATTTAGTGTAGGTAGTTTTGACTTAATATTTGTATACTTTACCACACATGCGTATGATTTTCAGTTGTTTCCTGCTTTGTGCTTTTCAATTCAAAATTAAATTCAAATTTTATTTGTATAGCACCAAATTTTATTGTGATTGACTTCCACCCTGTCCTGGTTTTTGTTTTCACTTCTTTTAGTCAGTTCTCATCAGACACCTGTTCTTCATTTTTTCTGATTCACTACTCCCACTTTTCACAGCAGTTGTTCATGTCTGTAATTAGTTCGTTCTGCATTTAAGTCTCCAGACAGCAGTCGCCAGGTCATTTGTTCATTATCACCTGAGACACTTGGTCTGTTCTCTCCATGAGATATTTTAGCTTTTTGCCTGTTCACTTTCTCCAGAGACTCTCTGGTTTTCTGTCTCACCTGGCTCTTTCCTGTTTCAGGCCCTGGATGCCATCTTCACACTCACTGCATCTGTTTCTGCTCATCTTCCCTTGTTTCATCTTTGCTTGGTTAGTTTAGATATTATGTTTAACATTTTCCTCTTTCTTGTGTCTTTCTTGTGTTTTCTGTTTATGCTTACCCTGCATTGTTGTGTGGTGACTACTTGCCTGTGAGTGTCTTTACGTAGTATTTAGTTCATCACCTGTAGTAGTTTGTATAGTTTAATTGTATTTTGTGTTCGTACTAGTCTAAGTTTTAGTATTGCTCCTGAGTTGTCTAGTTATTCCACTTTTGAGATGAGTCTCAAGTCGGTGTATGCGACTTAAATGCGACTGAAGTCCAAGTTGCAATATAAAGATTCCCGCCTGTGTATTGTATTCCTCCTGGTCTTGTCTGCATTTGAGCCCAGAGACACTAAAATAAGCATTCCTGTGGTAAATTCCCATTAAAGGTGTGGTATTTTGGGGCATTTGATAGTTATTCAACAAATTAATGACTATGCCCATCAGCTTGAAAATTTCAATACATTAAAAATATGGGAAGCATTTTATTTAAAAAGCAGAACCCAGAATGCCACTTAGTATTTAGCACTCAGTACCACTCTTGTGAGTTTGCTAACTTGTAAGATTAAAAACCACAGAAGGGTAAAACATGCCAGGCCGACACTGATATGAGGTAAGTAAACAGCTACAGTTAATAAAATTGATAAGGACTTGTTAGATTTACAGTACATGTACAAAATGATCATGCACTGATGATATTTGAGAGTACTGGTGGCAAAGAGGCATTGGAGGGCCCCTAAATCAAATTTTGCTTAGGTCCCCATAAAGACTTAAGCTGGGCCTGTATTTTTCAGCCATTTGTCTAAATTGAGTTTGAAGTCAAGAATATAAAGTCAAAATTAGTTTGAGTCTTTTACCAGTGTTAGCCAATCAAGTCTCAAGTTCTCAAATTTGTGACTAAAGTCCGACTTTAATCAAGTCATGTGACTCCAGTCCACCATTTCTGTCATGTCCCAAACAAAAACTGAAGTCCCTTTAGAAGGCAACACATTTTGATCACAAATATGATTACTTTAATTGTTTTCAACATTTATCATTACATTGAAAGTGAGAACATCAACTAACATCATTGTGCATCAAGTAATTGTAGTAATTGTAGCGAGAGGACATAGACCACTTGTGATGTGGTGAGCTCTGAAAACATTTTCAGGGTGGAAAAACACACCATGAATAAGTTGATAGTTCTGAGAATCCCCAGTAAGTACAACCAAGCCATAACCTAAAGTGTGTGCACAATTTAAAACTTTACACAGATTTTAATCAGTCTTTTTAAAATCACAATTTCTTTTATATAAAGCTTAATAAAACAAAGCTTTGCAGATTTCATTTTCATAAGTAAAAACCAAAATGAGCTCCAAATATATTTACTCAAAGGAGAGGATGGAGGTTTGACGAAACAATACTTGCAGATATGCTGAAGATGCTTGGTCGACAGAAACAAAGTGATTGGCTAAGATTCACTATAAAAGAAAACAGATTTTTATCCAAGCAGCTAAAAAATGTTTCTAAATTGACTGTTGAACTTCCAGCACATAGCCCACCTCAAACATTAATGATATTTTCCAGCACTGGGTTGTTAACAACTTTACTTTCTCTAAGGAAACCATCTCCCCAGGAAGGAATGTTTCAACTGGATGTTCTTTGCTTTGAGGTCGCCTCCCATTTGTACCCAGACAAAAACAATGTGAATTTATTTCAGTGATGACCTTCTGATCTGTGGCTGATTGTGGACTTTGTCTCTGTAGTGAGCGGTTACAGTGAAGCCCTGCTGATGCTTGGATCCTCGTGGTACCCAGCTGGGGACTCAGTTGCTGCAATATCAGGTGGGTCAGAGAAAGTAGCATCAGAGCTGCCTCACTACCTCTGGTCTGCTCTGTTATGTGGTTGACAGGTTCTTCTCTGTTTAGTTGGCAGAGACCAGTTGTTTTATACTCTAGAGGTTCTACAGGCCATAAACTCACCATAATCACACATCTGTCATAGGGCCTGATGCCTAAATCCACTGACCTGGGATCAGCCAGAGCTAACTTCTGAGTGATAGGAGTGTGTTCGCCAAAGTTGGATGTTGACAGAAAATATGCTGGAGTGCGCTGTTTTTTGGGTGTAAGCCGGACCCTGGAGCTTCTTTCCACTATTTACCAAAAGATCCTATCCTGCAGCAGTAATGACTAGAATCTATTTACTGAAATTGTGCTAACACTCTCACAGGTGCTGAAGTAATCTGTAGGTACATTTGCATATTTTTGAATATTCATAGATACTGGAATGTGTAATGAGGGGCAAATGTTGAGGCCTATTACAGAGATTCACTTAACATTTTTGAGAAAAAACTGTGTTGGACTATGTATTGTTTATAGCAGAGCATTTTTATATGCAAATATAAATATTAAAATGTCTTTTAAGTGGAACTTTAAAGTTGCACTGCAGTTCCCCCCAGTTCTTCTTAACATTTTTCAGCTCATTGTTTTGGATTTTATGGCTGACAACTTTACTGTTTCAGTTTACTCTTGCTGCTCTTATCTGTGTCATTTCCAGATGCTGGCTGCTGTTTTTACCAAACAAGCTCTAATAAGCTTGTGAGCATATAGTAAACTAAACATATGAATAAAAGGAGAGTGCATAGTGGACTTAACTGTATCACCACAGCTCAGTAAATACTGAACAAGGTTGCAGAAATTACAGACACTATGAAAAGGTTCACCTGTATTCAGAGGGTTGCAGATGAAGTCAGGTAAGGAGGGGATGCTGTGGGACAAAGGCAGCAGGTTGGCGGTGGTCAGCAACAGCCACGCAAAAACATCTTGCAGTCAAGACAAAAGTCTAAAAACACACAGACTGCAAAGGGAAAAAAGGTTTGAATGCTACAGTGGGATAGAGCAGAGGCCAAGATTTTGGGGGATGTATTCCAAGGTTTTGTGGCTCATTTTCTGGCGCTAAACAGTGAAATGTGTGTGTTCTAATATGTATCCTAATATTTAATATGTATGTTTTTGCTGGTGTCTTCATTGTAAATGACTATTTTTCAGTTTCACACCAGTCACGTGATAGAACATCATCAACACGCCCACTAGCTCAGCGTGAATGCTCCGGAGTGTACACTGCTGTATTCTCATGTGCTCACTCCAGCTTGCTCGGACATTACACAGACTTTGTACTAAGGAGCTGGCAGGGTGAAGTCTGTTTGAGGTCCAGGTCAGCTGACTTGGACATTTGCGTTCTCACATACAGCTCCCCCCAGGTAATGCCTAGAGAATTTCAGGGTTCCAGTGCATGTCTGAAAAGGGGATCATGTAAAGTGCCCTGAGATGATTATGTAGTTTGGCGCTATACAAACAGAATTGAACTGAAGTGCATACATAGAGTATACTAGGGGAAACTAGGGCGGGAATGGGAATCACATGCACAAGTAGTTGTAGGGAACCAGGTAACAGGAAATGATGAGATGGGATTACTGCAGGGCAGGTGGGAGTGGCAGGAACTGAAATGTGCCTGCTCAGTTAATATGCAACAAGTTAATGAAATGTATAAGGGCCTATTTTTTTATAATGACATATGTCAGTGTTGTGTTGTGTTTACAGCCCCATAGTGTCTCCAAAATCATTTAAATCAAGTTTTAACAATATGTTTGTTTATGCACAAAGGCTAACCACCTTACCATGTGTTGTACTGGAACAGTGGCTGTGCATGCACTCAAGATGCAATTTGGGTCTATAAATAGGAGCACCAAACACAGTGGTGGAACCATGGTGGAAATGCTTGACTAACAGAGCTGATTGCTGCATCCAGTTTTTATGCTGACATCCCGACATTTAACAAAACGGTAATTTCTTTGAGTGTTGCTATGTTCAGCTGCACAAAAATGAAAGTTTTCAAGGATGTCTGGTTGTAGTTATGCTAAGCTAAGCTAATTGCCTCTTACTGGCTTAATACTTATCTCCTCATCTGACTCTTGGCAAGGAAGTAATTAAGTCTATTTCCCCAAGTGTTAAAATAAAAATGGGTACATCCCCAGTGCAACACTGACTAGATGTCATCACTCATTTTAAAATCTTGTACTGTATATACTGTAAGTTGATGTCCACAATCATCAAGAACTTCTTTCAAAAAAGACTTTTTCCTCTCAGTTGAAAACTGTTTTGAAAGCTATATTAAAATACATTTTTTTCATGTAACAGTGTCAGAGTTTTGGCTTAGTTTGTGCTTTGAACTTGACCTCTTGCACCAGGTTGGATGAAAAGGTTGTAAACTGAGTTTCCCTCTAAGAAGTCCTCCTCCCAGTTTTTGATGAATAAAAAGACTGTTTCCACATGGTCTTTCTTGATAAATTAGAGTGCTTCAAGTTTTTGCTATATTAAAAATAACCCAAGCAATATGTAGACATAACGAACTACGAGCTCATGGCCTGCTTCAGGCCAAAGCAAACAGACTTTATGTTTGCAAACACCTTTAAAGAGAGAGAAAGAGGCATCACCAGGCCACAGTGACCTGGATCAAACCTCTCTCTCCTTCTGTTTATATCTGGCCGCTCTGAAAGTTCTGTGAAATATAAAGGAACAGAGGAAGCAGACAGGCTGCTCCTTCCCTTTTCTCTCTTGCATCCTCCATCTCATCTCTCATCCCTCTTTATCTGCCTGTCTATGGCCTCACTCTCTGCCACTCACTTTGTTTCTCACTCTCTCACCAACTGCGTTTATCATGAGCCTAGACGGGTTAGACATCAAAAGCAAGTGGACACAATGGTTCTTCAAAAAAAATCTAACAAAGCTTTGGGACTGCTCCCCCAAATGCTCCTATACTTGTATAGCACTTTTCTGTGCATTTCAGCGCTTTCACACTGTTTGGCCATTCACCCATTCACACTCCCAAGCACTCACACATTCACACACCGGTGACATCACTGGGAGCAACTGGGGGTTCAGTGTCTTGCTCAAGGACACTTTGACATGCAGACTGGACAAGCTGGGAATCAAACCTCTCTACCTCCTGAGCCACAGCTGCCCCCCACCCTAGATGGAAAAGTGTTTGTGGACAGCAAGACTGTTTGGAAACCTATAAATTCACAAAAGGACTGTGATTCTGTTCTTCTGCAATTGTGAATTCATACGTAGAGAGGAAGGTAACAGGCAGCCCAGTCTTACATTGGTCCACAGTGTAAAACATAGTAGTGTCACCATAAGGGCTGTAAAATAGTGACATGCCAACATTTTTGTGGTGTGTTCTTTTGTATTTCAGCTTTTTCATAAAAAGACTGCATGACATCACCCAGAGCCAAAGATCACTGCCTCACCTTACAAAACTGCCACCTACTTCTAATCATGAAAAGAAACTGGGTAACGAAGGGTTTCCCCTGAAACTAGTTTTCTGATGGTGGGGACACAGCATACTGTACATAATAGCACATGGAAGACTGTACTGTAATATTTTCCAAATTACTAAATTAACTTTTTTAAATAAAAATCTTTCAAACTGCCACACACTTTTCTGTTTTTTGTCTGTTTGGACCTTAAGTAGCCAGTTATGATTCATAAAACAATTCAGTGGACAGACGGAACAGTCTGGCACACAGTGCACTGGAGTAAAAGTGTGGAAATAGTGCCACTTTTCTCTTTATTAAAGCAATTTTGAATAGCAATTTCTGGATATAAATCTAACAATAACACTCCACAGTGAAATTGTTTTCCCCCATAATAATAGTAGTTTAAAAATAAAGAAGTGCTAGCTATGTAAATTAATGTTATTGATGTAGTAACCCTGCTTAAAATCACATAAAATTTCAAGGAGACCAGACTGATAATGCTGTATTTTCTGCTTTATTTTCAGCACTTTTCTTTATACTTGAGCTATTGTATCAACTTTCTAAGCATTTCACACCTTGTCACTCTTTAATGCAAAGCAATGCTGTCCTTTCCTTGGCACAGGTAGCACATCCATGTGTTGTGAGCAGTTTAATCAGTCAAGAATCATCTTGTCTCCTCATGCATCAGGTTCTAACCAGTCTTGATACAGCATAAAACTGTGCTGTATCAAGAAAAAGCAAAAATTAAAGAAAGCCAGAAAATGATCCATTCAATTATTAGAAAAACATTTAAATATTATAATCAAAATACTGTGTTTTGTCCCCCTGAAAAATGCACAGAGGATGTAACAGTATTGTTTTCAGCCCTGAACAGCATCTGTAGATGTTCCTATTAGACTTCATAGGACCCAACAAGCAAATGCATTGGAAGTACATGTCCAGAGTATTTCAGTTCTTCAGTCGTCCATCTCAGCAAACACGTACACTTCTGTTGTAATCACACCAGCTGTCTACACAGGCCGTATAACAGCTCACGTTTTACTCACACTTTACACCTATAGATGTGACCTGAAGCACTGGAGCTGCTGCCGGTCATGCTACACCTTTTGTGTAGACATGGTGAGAGAGGTAAGGTGTGGGCTAGACAGTCCACAGGCACTTACTAATGGTCTCTCTGGATTGTGAGTAGGGGTGTAATAATGCATTGTGGAAATGTGACAATATGCATCGTGAATCAGAAAACTGGATCGCAATATCAAGTCAAGACTCCATCTAATTTATTTCCTAACAAGAGGGGGCAATAGGCCAGAGCTGTATTCTTGGCTGACCTGTTGTTGACTCTGATGTCCACTAGGACTAACTATAGCCATTAGCCACACTTTACATTAACCACATTCTAATCTACAGAATGAGGAAAATGTTTAAATAAGAAACAAATGTTTGAAAACTGGTTTTGAATTTACATATGAAGAAAAAAATTAACATTAGTTTTCATTCCCACTGTGTTGTCATGAGTCTATCATAAGCCCTGAGCTCCACCATAACAGACAGTGAGGTGACAGCTGCACATGTATGGTTCACCCAGAGAGTCACACTCCAATGTCATCTAGACTGTAGCAGAGGCTTACAACCTACAGACCACCTGTGGTTGTAAGGGGAGCTGTGATTGGTTGCACTACAATACTGTACATACAGATGCACACACACACACACACAGACACCATGTAGACTGCCAGCCCCTGGTTCATGGAACTCAAGGTTACCAGGTCTGCAGGGGCTCACTCAGCTCCAAGAAAATGTCTCTGAGAGTCAGCACTTTCACTTTATGACTGCTTCATACAGACACACAAATGCACATACACACATATATGTACACACACACACATGCACACCTACAGAGCCTGCTAGTTGCTGTTGCATGATCATTTGATATGGTTATCTATATAAGCTAATGTTCTGTGTCTGTGACTGTGTGGAAAAAAAACTTGTCTGTGTGTTTTGGCGAGTGTTTTGAGTTGATCCCACTGAAAGTCACCTCTGATAGCCATTATACACCCACGTGCTGAAATATCCCTCAATTTCTCTTACCCCCTACCAGCTCACTCCCCCACAGACATGGTTTGTTGCTATCTTTCTCTGATTTGCAGGGAATTTACAGCAGTGCCATGGCCATATTAATAGGATGGTATATGCTTCAAGAACTAGCTGGCAGATCTTAAGCACAGCAGTAGATCTGTGACACACCATAGTCAGAAATGAGTTTAGCTTCTGAGTTTTGGGAATCAAAAGTGATTCTGACCATCAATCAGTTCCTTTCCAGCACACACTGTAATATCTCTGGGGATTGAAGTCAAGGTGTGGCTCTTTGTGTGTGAGTAAATTTATGTATGCGCATGTTTCCATACTTTTGAGCATTACGTATGTGTAACTGTGCCTGTGATGTGAGTGAGTGTATCGGCGTGCAATTACATTGGGAAGCTGCTTCCACCTTTATTTGTATGTGTGCGGGTTGTACGAGGCTGTAAATCACCTCTGTGTTGTGCCGCTGCCTGGCTCACGCTCTATGTTCTGTGATAGATCCTGACAAGCTGCTGTCTGATTTATTGATTCTCTGATCTGAAAGTTTGATGCTTAGCCTGAGGGCTGGATTAACCTGCCGACAGTCCTGTCGTCTCCCTTCTCAGAGGTAACCGCAGCACAGACACCCTAATACATTCATATGCATGTACATATATGTGCACATACACACCAGTGGATGTGGTGGACCCTCCTCTTGGCTAGTTAGACAGCTGGAGATGATGTCCAGTCTACAGTTATACTGAGTTTTACTCTCTCTGTTCATTTGTCCTCCTGACCTCCATGAGTAGCTCTGGGTATGTCGGTCTCATAGGCTGGGGATGTTTCAATCACAATCAGAGACAGAAACTCTCCATATTAATACATTTCCCTAAACCAGTGTAGGTCAATTTACCTTTT